ATAGGGTGTCTTGTTATTATTAAGTAAATTTAAATAAATTTGAAGATAAAAGAGCCGAAATGAATAAAAAAACAAGGATATATTTCTTTAAATACTAGAATTAATTAGTTTAATTATTACGATAAATTGAATTAAATGATAAGATTTTAATTTTTCAAATAAAAGATTTTTCAAAAAAATTTTTCAAATAAAGATTTTTCAAATAAAATTTTAATACAAGATTAATATAGAAATTATTATTATAAATTATAATTTTATTTGATTTTTTAAATATGTTTTCTATTTAGTTTTTAATTTTATCTTCTTTTTCGAAGATTATTATACTAGTCTATATGTATTGAATGCACGATGACGTGTTAGACATTGCAGCTGAATCTGCAATGACAGCCTCTCTAATCCTCCTTAACAAAAGATTAATTTGATCCGAATGACATTAAAAAATAATAAGTGTATAGCATGTACTGCTTTATTAAGTTTTTCCTATCATTTATTTATACATTTCAAAAAGATAGCAGACTCTTCTTTAAATATATATATATATTTTTTTATCTATATTTTTTATTGATATATCATACTTAGTCATATTTATATATATTTTTTGCATTAGACATATGTAGTTATTTCCTAATTTACATGTTTTGCATGTTTTCACATTATTGCATCCTATGCAATTTTGATGTCCGAGCGATTTCTAGCTAGGCTATGAATGATGAATAGGACGTTTGATAAAACGAGAAACACGCTCGTCAAACACAGAACGCAGCGAAATCAAAGATTCAATTGTACTCTCACTTCTTTGCTCTTTCATCTTCATAATAATAATATGACTCCAATTTCATTTCACTTTTCTACATTGTAAAATGGAGAAAAAAATTAAAAATATATGTATAACTTTTTCATATACTTATAATATATAAATAAATATATAAATATATACATAATAAATATATAAATAAATATATAAATATATGCATAATAAATATATAAAATATATATAAAAATATATAATTATTATAAAATTAATACATACAAAATAATTTTACAAAATACTATATACAAATTTATAAATATATGATTAATTTTGTATAATTTTATTTTATCAATACATACGTTATTATTATCTTTATATATAATTTAAAACGGTATTTTATTCTTATATATATTTATTACATTATTTTTAATAATATGGAGATTGAAACATTGGATATAAAACATTGGATATAAAAATTTAAACATATTTTAGTAATCCTGAATGGAAGAAAAAAGTAAGATTATATTGGAAGCGAAAGGAGAATACAGTGGGCGACTTTAATGATTTCTCGAGGTTGTTTTAATAGAGTACGTCTGCCGTTGCATCATCACTGTATACCGGGTGTTTAACTGATAACGATTGTGGATTTTCTAAATGATTTTATAGATATAACTTTCTTTAAAGAAAAGTAGATGAGAGATCAAATTTTTAACTTTATTTAAAATATTTTACAATTATTTTTGTACTTCTTATTTTAAAAATATTATTTATTATATTATTATACAATTTTTATGCATTATATGGTAGAAATTATAATCTTTTACAATTAATTTTTCATAATCTTTGTTTCTAATCTTTTCTAGAATGCAATAAAAGAAAGCAGTAATATCTCTTGTTCTTTTCTTTGTTTTTCATTTCTCTTTTTTAGGTATATATATATATGCATATATAATGAAAAAGGAATAGAAAAAAAAGAAAAAGGATAAAGAAGAAAGGCAGAGGAAAAAAAGAAGTGGAAAAGAAACGAAAGAAAAAAAAAGAGAATCTTAATTAATCCTAACAAGTTCATATTGTCGGTAATATCCCAGTGAGATTAGATAATTGACGGAGGAACTCAGTAATTCACGGACATTGCATGTGTGACATATGCTCTTTTTATTATTTCATTAAATAAACTTATATTTCTTTTTATCATTATTGCATGAACGGTTGATAATAAATGTAATGACAGATCTCATATATGACGATGTGCATTACAGAAATCGTTAAAAGAACTTGTTAACAAATTCGATTGAAAAAGAGAGGTAAGAAATTTATTCTTAATTGAGCTCTACAGATCATTAAAGTTTTATTTTATATTATTTTGTTATAAAAAGTGTTAAAAACGATTTTTAAAAGTTTTAGAAAATTAAAACTTTTTTCTTATCAAATTATAATTAAAAATTATAATAAAATCTTAAATTTCTAATTATTCTGTCTAATCTTAATTTTTCTGTTTTATTATATTTTATGTTCTTTTATATTTTGTTTACAGAATATGTGATCTTTGAAACTTCAAGGAAAGGAAACAATCAAGTCCTGTCCTGTTCCTAAGTACTAGTGCCGCAGGAGTGATTAGACGCACGAGACATTACCGTATCTCCTGCTGCTCAAGTGCTTATCAACGGGTCGGGACGCGTGTCAACTTTTCTTCACAATCTAAGAAGCAACGGAAGAACTTCGAAAAACTTTATTTCATTTTATTATTATTTCGTTATATTATTTAAAAAGTGCTACAATTATTTTTCGTAATGCGCTTTATTTTTAATGAAAACGGGTTTATTTGCTTTGTATACATATCATATTTATATATGTGAAGTATAAAGTATGTAAATGTTAAATTATTATAAGATAAAATATATTATACATATTACAATTTATATGCAATATATTTGTATATACATATATATATATGCTTGTATTTTTATTTTATTATTTATTAATATTAAGTTGAAATTATATTAATAAAAACAAATATTTAATATTGAACATATTTTTATATCATATAAATTATAAAATATCGTACATATATTTTATATTCTTTACATAATATTTTTTATTAAAATTGACAGTTAATATTCAGTTTCGATCTATTAAATTATGTAATCTTTCTTTTAATTTTTTTCAAAGTTTTAACAAAGTTTCTATATGGTGTGTGTATGTGTGTGTGGTGTGTGGGTATATTTC